AGACATGTGACAAATAAAACTTTAGCCCTAATTTAAAAAAAAACACTTCTGGGCTGGGTGCACTGGCTCACAGCTGTAATCCCAGCACTTTTTGGAAGGCTGAGACAGGTGGATCACTTGAGGTCAAGAGCTTGACACCTGCCTGGCCAACATACTAAACGCACTAAAAGTACAAAAAATTAGCTGGGCGTGGTGGTGCATGCCTGTCATGCCAGCTACTCTGGAGGCTGAGGTATGATCATCGCGTGAACCTGGGAAGCAGAGGATGTAGTGAGCCAAGACTGTGCCACTGCTCCGTCTCAAAAAAAAAAAAAAAAAAAGAAGCTTCTGGTCCAGGATGGAAAACATGTCTTCTCTTTTTTGTTCCCTCCCCAGTCTCATTGGGTGAGGGTGCTCTGAGCTGAGCTGAGCATGTTTAAACAGGGACCAGCTACACGTGAGGCCACATGGCGATTTGGGAGACCTGGGGTCTGAAATTGGAGTCACTGAATCTGACTCCTGCACCTCCATCTAGTTGTCTGTGCCTTCCCTGTGCTGCCATCCTTGGAACCTGAGACCTGGCCAGAGGCTCCCACAGCACTAACCGCAACCTGTCACTGTTGCGTTTGTATGTGCATAACCTGGAAGAGGGTGCCTTCTGCCTCTGGGGAGGGCTCGGATGCAGAGCTGAGGCTGAGTCTCTAGTGAGTCCCAGGCTGGGGAAGTCAGATGACAGCCATGAAGCACGCACAGTAATTCCCACATGCATCATCCTCTACAGTGACATCAGGTTTTAGAGCTTGTGCTGCATTTTTTTTGTTTTTTTTTGTTTTTTTTTGAGGCGGAGTTTCGCTCTTGTTACCCAGGCTGGAATGCAATGGCGGGATCTTAGCTCACTGCAACCTCTGCCTCCTGGGTTCAGGCAATTCTCCTGCCTCAGCCTCCTGAGCTGGGATTACAGGCACGTGCCACCATGCCCAGCTAATTTTTTATATTTTTAGTAGAGACGGGGTTTCACCATGTTGACCAGGATGGTCTCGATCTCTCGACCTCGTGATCCACCCACCTCGGCCTCCTAAAGTGCTGGGATTACAGGCTTGAGCCACCGCGCCTGGCCTGTACTGCATTTTTACATTCATTTTGTTTAATCTACATGGTAGGAGTAATCTCTCGATATGTTTTGCAGATGAGGGAACTGAACGTAGGGAGGTGGGTTACAAACAGTAGCCCTAGGCCACAAGGTTCCCAAAGTTGGCTGATAAGAATCACTGGAGGGCAGAGCACGGTGACTCAGGCCTGTAATCCTAGCACTTACAGAGGCGGAGGTAGGCAGATCATTCAAGCTCAGGAGTTCAAGACCAAGATGGTGAAACCCTCATCTCTATTAACAGTACAAAAATTCGGCAGGCATGGTGGCATGTGCCTGTAATCCCAGCTACTGAGGCAGAAATTATAGCTACTGAGGCAGGAGAATAGCTTGAACCCAGGAGGCAGAGGCTGCAGTAAACCGAGATCATGCCCCTGCACTCCAGCCTGGATGACAGAGTGAGATCCTGTCTCAAAAAAAAGAATCACTGGAGTGCTTGTTAAATATGTAGATGGTCACGCCCTCTCTCCAAATTCTAGATCTGAAGATCTGGTCTAGACTTGAGAATCAATAGATGCAGTGGCTCCCAGCACTTTGGGAGACCAAGGTGTTTTGCATTTGTCTCCCAGGCTGGAGTGCCATGGCGCAACCTCAGCTCACTGCAACCTCTGCCTCCCAGGTTCAAGTGATTCTCCTGCCTCAGCCTCCCAAATAGCTGAAACTACAGGCGCCCGCCACCATGCCCAGCTAATTTTGCATTTTCAGTACAGACGGGGTTGCGTCACATAGACCAGGCTGGTCTCAAACTCCTGACCTTGTGATCTGCCCGCCTTGGCCTCCCAAAGTGTTGTAATTACAGGCATGAGCCACTGTGCCTGGCCTAATTTTTTTTTTTTTTTTTTTTCTGAGACGGAGTTTCGCTCTTGTTACCCAGGCTGGAGTGCAATGGCGCGATCTCGGCTCACCGCAACCTCCGCCTCCTGGGTTCAGGCAATTCTCCTGCCTCAGCCTCCTGAGTAGCTCGGATTACAGGCATGTGCCACCATGCCCAGCTAATTTTTTGTATTTTTAGTAGAGACGGGGTTTCACCATATTGACCAGGATGGTCTCGATCTCTTGACCTCGTGATCCACCCGCCTTGGCCTCCCAAAGTGCTGGGATTACAGGCTTGAGCCACCGCGCCCGGCCGCTTTTTTTTTTTTTTTTTTTTTTTTTTTTTTTTTGAGACGGAGTTTCGCTCTTGTTACCCAGGCTGGAGTGCAATGGCGCGATCTCGGCTCACCGCAACCTCTGCCTCCTGGGTTCAGGCAATTCTCCTGCCTCAGCCTCCTGAGTAGCTGGGATTACAGGCACGCACCACCATGCCCAGCTAATTTTTTGTATTTTTAGTAGAGACAGGGTTTCACCATGTTGACCAGGATGGTCTCGATATCTTGACCTCGTGATCCACCCGCCTCGGCCTCCCAAAGTGCTGGGATTACAGGCTTGAGCCACCACGCCCGGCCCTAATTTTTTTTTTTTAAGAGGCAGTGTCCTTCTGTGTAGCCTAGGCTGGTCTCAAACTCCTCGTCTCAAGTGATCCTCCAGGCTTGGCCTCTCAGTGTGTTGGTATTACAAGCATGAACCACCACACCTGGCCTGAGTTATTTACTTAACACAGAGTCTTTGAGTTTCAGCGATGATAATGGTACGTACTGTGTGACAGCAGGATGAACAAGGCAGTTCCAGCTTTAGGAAACCAACAGATCGTCCAGGGCTCGTGTGGTGGGCAGCCCAAGTCTTCTGAATCGTAGGTGAGGTCCCCAGCTAGGTGGGATAGCCTCCTCCCCTAGGACAGAGGACAAAGGCTTGGAGCTCCTAGTTGAGCCTGCTGAGCCTTTCTCCATTCTTTAACAACCACTTGGTCGCACTGTATGGTTCTTTTGTTGTTGTTGTTTTGAGACAGAGTCTCACTCTGTCCTCAGGCTGGAGTGCAGTCGCTTGATCTAGGCTCACTTCACTGCAACCTCCACCTCCCGGATTCCAGCAATTCTCCTGCCTCAGCCTTTTGAGTAGCTGGGACTACAGGTTCACACCACCACGCCCAGCTAATTTTTGTGTTTTTAGTAGAGACGGGGCTTCTCCATGTTGGCCAGGATGGTCTTGATCTCTTGACCTTGTGATCTGCTCACCTTGACCTCCCAAAGTGCTGGGATTACAGGCCTGAGGCCTGTTATTTTGTTTTTTTGAGACAGGGTCTCACTCTGTTGCCCAGGCTGGAGTGCAGTGGCCCAATCTCGGCTTATTGTAAACCTCTTTCTCCCAGGTTTAAGCAATCCTCCCGCCTCAGCCTCCAGAGGAGCTGGGACTGCAGGTGCACCCCACCGTGCCTGGCTAATTTTTGTATTTTGGGGTAGAGAAGTGGTTTCGCCATGTTGACCAGGCTGGTCTTGAACTCCTGAGCTCAGGCAATCCTCCAGCCTCGGCCTCCCAAAGTGCTGGGTTAAGGTGTGAGCCACCATGCCCAGCAAGCAGCCTATGGTTCTTTTGAGCTACAGGCATCCTGTGAAAGAAGTCAGGTGTAAGGCCACGCATGGTTCACACCTGTAATCGCAGCACTTTGGGAGGTGGATGACAGTGGATTACAAGGTCAGGAGATTGAGACCAGCATGGCAAAACCCCATCTCTACTAAAAATACAAAAATTAGCTGGGCGTGGTGGCGCACACCTGTAGTCCCAGCTACTCGGGAGGGTGTGGCAAAAGAATTGCTTGAACCCGGAAGGTGGAGGTTGCAGTGACCTGAGATTGCACCACTGTACTCCAGCCTGACGACTGAGTGACAGAGCAAAAGACTCCATCTCAAAAAAAAAAAAAAAAAAAAAAAGAAGGAAAAAAAGTCAGGTGTATAGAGCACTTAGCACTGTGCCTGGCACTCAGTGTTCAGTAAGTGTTGGCCGGCCGCTAACTTGCTAGGCAAGGCCAGGTAGGTGGGGGGAGCTGGGAAGAGAAAGAGCCCTCAGGTGTTAAGGAAAACGGGAGGGGCCTGACACTGGGTAGGGATTTACATTTCCTTAAAAGTCATTCCAGCCCTGACTTGACTTTGCACCTGGAAGGGAGGAGGCCAGGCAAAAATCACTCTTGTGCAAATAAGGAAAGCGGGGCCCAGAGATCAAAGTGAGTGGTCCTGAGCCAACACCCAGGTCTTTGCGGCCCTGCCACGCCAGGCAGGGATTGAGGGATGTGGCAGCAAGGGTAACACCTTTCCTCCTGAAATCACCGAGTGAGGTCTGCCTATGGGGGAAGAGCCTGATGAACCAGGATCACCCCATTGGCTCCATCTGGCTCCAGCTTCTGCTACAACTGCTACCTTTTCAGATGGAGACGTCTTCCTCCTGGTCCCTCCTGCCTTCTGTCTTCCCCAGCAGAGCACTTCAGTATTTGTTAGGGCCAGGGGTTCTCCCCGAGGCCATCTGGACAGTGGCCAGGAAGGCTGCCCCGGTCATATTGGGCCAAAGCCTGTCCAAGAGCCGCGAGGATCCCGCGGCATTCTCTACCTGCTTCTCCAGGAGCCGCTAGCGGCTCATTTGCAGCCTGAGTGGAGAGGATGGGGCCGAGATCCCAGGTGAGGCCAGTTAGGGAGCCGCAGGTCTAGGTCTGACCTGGGAGTATGCCGGGACAAGCCTGCTCCATCTCAGCATCAAGGTCTTTGGTACCTAGAGGAGCAGGGTGCCAGGGTGCCCAGACCGGCAAACCAGGAGCCCTAGATCACGTCCCTGGATCTGGGTCCTTCGCCAGCTTTGCGGGCCTCCTCCTCACCAGGCTCGGGTCTCGCCCACCCCCAGCAGGGGGTGCCTCTGTCCCCCACCCTCCGGAGGTGGGGGTTATGTGATCTTAAAGCTTACTTGGAGGGAAGAAAGGCGGGGGCGGGGCGGCTGCCGAGGTCCAGGCTATAAGCGCTGGAGGTGCCGCTTTCAGGCCTGGCCAGCTCACCATGCACGCCCACTGTCTGCCCTTCCTCCTGCACGCCTGGTGCGCCCTGTTCCAGGCGGGCGCTGCGGCGGTGGGCACTGCGCCCCTGCGTACGCGGGGGCAGCCCTCGTCGCCGTCCCCACTGGCGTACATGCTGAGCCTCTACCGCAACCCGCTGCCCGGGGCGGACATCATCCGCAGCCTGCAGGCGCAAGGTAGGCTGTGCCGCGTGCGGCGCCCAGCGCCCGGCTGGCACCCCGGGGCGCCTCCGCAGCGTCCAGCCTGCGGACTCGGGATGTGCTCTGGGTTGGGGGCTGCGGCCCCGAGCCGGGTTTGCAGCCGCCCCGGGAGTCCCGAGCCCAGGGCCTGGCTCTGCGGGTGTCTCCGCGTCAGCAGGCTCGGGGTGCAGCGTTGGTGTCTGGGGGCGCATCTACGGCCGAGTCGGGAGGGGATTCTAATGGTCAGGGTGTGTCCTCGACGGGGACCATTGTCTCTGGGTTTTGGTTTGGGGTTGCGCGGAGAGCAGCGCGGAAAGGTGGGAGCCCCTAATCTCCGCCGTCTTGTAAAGTTGCTTATCCCGGCGCCTGGGTCTGCGCACCTGCAGGGTAGGTGTAATAAACAGTACCTCGCCCATCAATCAGGCTGTGGAGTGCGCGAGGTGACAATGTGTGCGAAACGCTCCTCGCAGTACCCGGCACGGTCACAGTAAATGGTCGTCAGTATTACAGTAATGGTTTTGTCTTGGCGATTTTTTTTTTCTTTCTGCGAGTGAGGGTGAATGGGCTGTGATGCCCCGGGGTGTGACGTCGGGAGTATAAGCAACCGAGCTGGTGAGCTGGTAACATCGGGGATTCGGGCTCACGGTCCCGAGATCAGGGATGGGCTGTCCCCAAGTCGTGAACTGTGGCAGCCTTGGGTCCTCCAGCCGCGCCGAGGAGGTATCAAGTGTCCCGGTTAACCCCGGGTTCGAGACCAGGATTTGGAGGGGAGTGGGAGTCAGGGATGGTAGGGACCTGAGGGTATCACCCTCGAGGACCTGGCAGGCCTTTTTGAGCACCAAGCGTGGCAGGCAGGTGGGTGCTGAGGAGAGGGAGCCCCTTCCACGCTCCTCAATCCACATCCCAACGCCTGGGAAGCCTTGGCCGCCCGCGCCTCCCTCCGCCTAGGGGGTCCAGACGGCACTCCCCGGGGCCAGGGCGCAATCCACACCGGCTAATCTGATCCTACTTGCTGCCTGCCGGCTCCTTGTGACACGCGGGCGGGGTTCCTCCCTCCGGCGTCTGGAGGCTGAAGGCCGTTGACCCTCTCCGGAAGGGTCATCTGGGGACCGGCCAGACCGGGGGACACCCTTGGGGGCGGGGCAATGAGAAATTTGCTGGAGGGCTCTTCCTTTCTACCAAAAAGCAGCCAAGGATGGGAGTGGGTAAAGAAGGGAGGGAATGCTTTTCCAGTTCACTCCCTTCTGGAAGGTTCGAGATGTGTGCATCTGGAAAACTAGGCCTCAAGCCCTGCTTCCTGATTCCCTGTTGTCGCTGGCAGGTCTTGGTTTGCCTGCCTTCCCTTCTGTAAATTAGGAGACTGCTCTCTTTCAGCTAAACACTTTTTTTGTTGTTTTTTGTTCCCCACCCCGCCCCCTCACGCACAGCCTCACTCTGTCACCCAGACTGGAGTGCAGTGACACGATCTAGGCTCACTGCTACCTCCGCCTCCCAGGTTCAGCGATTCTCCTGCCTCAGCCTCCTGAGTAACTGGGACTACAGGCCCGTGCCACTGTGCCCAGCTAATTTTTTATCTTTTTAGTAGAAACGGGGTTTCACCATATTGACCAGGCTGGTCTCGAACTCCTGACCTTGTTATCCAACCGTTGCCTTGGCCTCTCAAAGTGCTGGGATTATAGGCGTGAGCCACTGAGCCTGGCCTAAACACTGTTTTTGTTTTTGAAACGAAGATTTGCTCTTATCGCCCAGGCTGGAGTGCAATGGTGCAATCTAGGCTCACTGCAACCCCCACATCCTGGGTTCAAAGATTCTCCTGTCTCAGCCTCCTGAGTAGCTGGGATTACATACAGGTGCCTACCACTATGCCTGGCTAATTTTTTTGGTATTTTTAGTAGAAACGGGTTTCACCATGTTGGCCAGGCTGGTCTCGAACTCCTAACCTTGGGTGATCCACCTGCCTTGGCTTCCCAAAGTGCTAGGATTACAGGCTATTTTTTTTTTTTTTTTTTTTTTTTTGAGACGGAGTTTCGCTCTTGTTGCCCAGGCTGGAGTGCAATGGCGCGATCTCGGCTCACCGCAACCTCCGCCTCCTGGGTTCAGGCAATTCTCCTGCCTCAGCCTCCTGAGTAGCTGAGATTACAGGCACACGCCACCATGCCCAGCTAATTTTTAGTATTTTTAGTAGAGACGGGGTTTCACCATGTTGACCAGGATGGTCTCGATCTCTTGACCTCGTGATCCACACGCCTCGGCCTCCCAAAGTGCTGGGATTACAGGCTTGAGCCACCGCGCCCGGCCTTACAGGCTATTTTTAACTGTACAGCAGCATGCAGCATATTTACATTGTGAATTGGCCTCATTTCTAAGAGCAGTAGGAAGAGCCAGCCTGGAGAATACCAGTGGAGAAGGGATGTCCTGGCCCCACTCCTTCTATCCTGGATTTATTTATTATAAGCTGCACCACAGTTGCATGAAAGGGATGTTGGAGTCCAGTTGGGTTTACATCGTATCTGTTGCGGTTGAACCTTCTTCACCTTGGACCTTCAGTTTTCTCATATGCAAATGGTGAAATGAGAGGAACAGTGAGGAGGTTTAGAGAAAATGCCTGTGAAACACTGGGCATACAGGAAGCCACTGATGGTAACAGTCCTTATAATTTATTAAAATGTAGAATGGGTGCTCAGTGTCAGGCCCTCAGAGCCCTTTCTGGTGACAGTGGTGTAGGTGGCAGGAAGGGAACCCAAAGGTATAAGTCCAACCACTTTCTTCTTCAGAACTGGAGGTGGGGCCAGGCATGGTGGCTGAGGCATGTAATCCCAGCACTTTGGGAGGCCAAGGCAGGCGGATCATGAGGTCAAGGGTTTGAGACCAGCCTGGCCAAAATGACGAAACCCCATCTCTACTAAAAATACAAAAAATTAGCCAGGCGTGGTGTCATGCACCTGTAATCCCAGCTGCTCGGGAGGCTGAGGCAGGAGAATCTCTTGAACCCGGGAGGGGAGGTTGCAGTGAGCCATGATCATGCCACTGCACTCCAGCCTGGTGACAGAATGAGACGTCTCGAAAAAAAAAAAAAAAGAAGAAGAACTGGAGGTGGGTCAGGACATCAGGGGAGCCTGTGTGACTAAGTCTGCATTCAGCATACGAATGGGTTTGTGGGTGTCCATGAACCCTTTCCTCATACCCACCTTAAAATAACATTTGTTGTATTTGGATGTTTTTGTTTTTTTCTGAGAACATTCCTACCTTGCATCAGGCACCAGTGACACCCTAAATATTAGAACGCTTATTCTAAGGTGAACCAGAGAAACTATCAGCACTGTCCCAGGGCACCCTGGCAGTAGTGGGAGAAGGCAGGAAGGTTGGTGGAGTCACAGACTTCTTTCAACAGGAAGGCAAAGTCTTGCCTGCTGCCCATCCATGCCTGCTGCCCATCCTGTTCACAGGGGCCTTTGCACCACCGTCCAGGTCCCTCGTGGCCTGGCTGGACACCTTCATTTCTAACTCTCAGACCTGGGCAATAATGAGGCAGTTGATGATGGCCAATGTTTATTGAACTTTGGTTGTGCTGGGAAAAGCACTTTACATGAATTATCTCAGTTAATCCTAACACCCCTGTGAGGTGGCTACTCTTATCATCACCCTTTTACAGAGGGAAAGTGAGGCTCAGAGAAGAAAGTAGCCTGACCAATGTCAAAGAGCAAGTGACAGAATTTGAGCCATCATGGGAAGACTCGGGGGCCCCTGCTCTTAACCATTAAGAAGGAGTGCCTTCCTCTAAAAGATTTCAAGTTTTTTTTTTTTTGGTTTGTTTCAAGACAGAGTTTCGCTCTCTTTGCCCAGGCTGGAGTACAATGGTGCAATCTCAGCTCACTGTAACCTCTACCTCCAGGGTTCAAGCAATTCTCCTGCCTCAGCCTCCCAAAGTGTTGGGATTACAGGCCCGAGCCACCACACCTGGCCAAAAAAAGTATTTTTTTTTTTTTTTTGAGACGGAGTTTCACTCTTGAAACCCAGGCTGGAGTGCAATGGTGCGATCTCGGCTCACTGCAACCTCCGCCTCCTGGGTTCAGGCAATTCTCCTGCCTCAGCCTCCTGAGTAGCTGGGATTACAGGCAAACACCACCATGCCTAGTTAATGTTTTGTATTTTTAGTAGAGGCGGGGTTTCACCATGTTGACCAGGATGGTCTTGATCTCTTGACCTTGTGATCCACCCGCCTCGGCCTCCCAAAGTGCTGGGATTACAGGCTTGAGCCACCGTGCCTGGCCTCAAAAAAAGTATTTTTAAACTCACTGCCCCAGGCCTCCAGGTACAGGTGGCCACAGTGGGTGCTGGGTAATGTCAGCCTCCTCCCCACACTTCTGAGGAAAGCTGCTAGTCAGGAGGTGGTTATTGCCTCCTGTAGGTGCTAATGAGGAGGGAAGTGGAAATTAAGTGAAAAGAGCTGCTGGAGATGGCTGGGAGAAGCTGCCAGGAGGCTTTACAATACAAGTTGGATTTCCCAGAGAAATTTACTTCCTCTCTGACCAAAGACACTCTTGGAGATAGTGGATGAATGAAGTGTTATCTAGCCAGACTGGACCCGCATCAGAGGTCATCACTACCTCCAGAATCTATCCACAAAGACTTATAAATTCCCTGTCTTTTTTTTTTTTTTTTTTTTTGAGACGGAGTTTCGCTCTTGTTACCCAGGCTGGAGTGCAATGGTGCGATCTCGGCTCACCGCAACCTCTGCCTCCTGGGTTCAGGCAATTCTCCTGCCTCAGCCTCCTGAGTAGCTGGGATTACAGGCACGCGCCACCATGCCCAGCTAATTTTTTTTAGTATTTTTAGTAGAGACAGGGTTTCACCATGTTGACCAGGATGGTCTCGATCTCTTGACCTCGTGATCCACCAGCCTCGGCCTCCCAAAGTGCTGGGATTACAGGCTTGAGCCACCGCGCCCGGCCTCCCTGTCTTATTTCTAATAAATAACCCCTGTCTTTTATTTAGCAGTAAACCTTCCAACCTCTTTATTTCTCTGGGTCCTTGTGATAATTATCAGAGAGGGTGGGGCAGCATTATTCCCACTGCAAAGAAGAGGAAACTGGGCTTGAAGAAAGTTCATCACTATTAAGTCACCTGAAAATCCACAAATCTGTGCTATTCCCCAACATCAGGGAAACTCAATCCAAGACCAGAATAAATGGAACGTCCTCCCCTACTCCTTGTCATTCAGTCCGGCTGTCTTGGGTGAGTGGAAGAAGGTTGGCTGTGCGTGTCTTCTGGGTGATGATCTCTGATGTAGGTCCAGTCTGGGCATCTAGCAGTTTATTCATCTATTGTCTCATAGAGCATCTTTGGTTAGAGAAAGGGAATTTCTCTGGGAGATAATCCACCTTGTATTGTAAAGGGGCAACTCCCACTTTCAGCCTTCTGGAAGCTCCTGGGTACGTGCCATTGCTGTGTGCCCCAGGTATGTGAATGACCTGGGGCAGGAATGGGCAACATCCTATAGGTATGTAGCCTTGCCTAGAACGCCTTTAGAAACCTATTGGTAAAGTTGCCAGAAACTCCTGAAGTTGCCGCCTGTTCTTTAGGAACTGGGGTGCGGGGAGAGGGTGGCCAATCTTTCGCTTCTATTGCCTATGCCTCCTTGAGAGCTCTGAGCTTTTCCGTGATATTCACATCTAGCTCAATGTGTCTGTAAAACAGGCTGCTCTTTTCAACAGGAAAATAGAGCCCAAGAAGGTGGCTTGCTCCAGGGTTAGAGAGTGAGTGGAAGCCTGGGATTTAGGTTAGAAGGCTCAGGGGTCAACCTTAGACTTTTTTTTTTTTTTTAAGACGGGTTTTCACCATGTTGGTCAGGCTGGTCTTGAACTCCCGACCTCAGATGATCCACCCGCCTTGACCTCCAGAGTGCTTGGATTACAGGCTTGAGCCAGCACGCCCGGCCCCGAGCCTTAGACTTTATGTATGGGAGGAGGGGGAGATGCATCTCATCACATTTTTACTAACTGTCCTCTGGCTGTGGAAAGTATCTTGGAAGCGGGACTGAAAGAACAGTGATTGAGAGTCTGGGCTTGGCAGTTGGGCAAATTCAGGTTTACTCTTGGGTCTGCCACCTTCCAAGAATGACACCTTCATCAGGTCTTTTAACCACTCAGCCTCAGTTTTCCTCATCTTAAAAATCTTACCAACTCATAGGGTTGGGTGAGAATTAGAAGGTAATTCTATGTAAGGTACGGCCTTCAGCACGAGCTATGGTGGTTGTTACGCTGACTGAGGCTGGGTGGGGGGCCTTACTCACCCTGTTCCTTCTTGGTTTTCTCCTACCCAGATGTGGAGGTGGACGGGCAGAACTGGACCTTTACTTTCGACTTCTCCTTCCTGAGCCAAGAAGAGGATCTTGCGTGGGCTGAGCTCCGGCTGCAGCTGCCCAGCCCTGTGGACCTCCCCACTGAGGGCTCACTTGCCATTGAGATTTTCCACCAGCCAAAGCCCGATGCAGAGCAGGCTTCAGCCAGCTGCTTGGAGCGGTTTCAGATGGACCTGTTCACTGTCACTTTGTCCCAGGTCACCTTTTCCTTGGGCAGCATGGTCTTAGAGGTGACCAGGCCACTCTCGAAGTGGCTGAAGTGCCCTGGTGCCCTGGAGAAGCAGATGTCCAGGGTGGCTGGGCAGTGCTGGCAGCAGCCCCCGACACCACCAGCCACGGACGTGCTCCTTATGCTATACTCCAACCTCTCACAGAGGCAGAGGCGGCTGGGCGGGTCCACCTTGCTATGGGAAGCCGAGAGCTCCTGGAGGGCCCAGGAGGGACAGCTGTCCAGGGAGTGGGGCAAGAGGCACCGTCGACATCACTTGCCAGACAGAAGTCAATTGTGTCGGAAGGTCAAGTTCCAGGTGGATTTCAACCTGATCGGATGGGGCTCCTGGATCATCTACCCCAAGCAGTACAATGCCTATCGCTGTGAGGGCGAGTGTCCTAATCCTGTGGGGGAGGAATTTCATCCAACCAACCATGCATACATTCAGGTGGGATGCCAGGTGTGAGGGGAAGGGGAGGCAGTAAGCTGGACTCAGGGAATGGGGCTCTAGCTTTGCTATTAAATGACTGTGTTCCAGCCAGGATCAGTGGCTCATGCCTGTAATCATAGCACTTTGGGAGGCCAAGGCGGGCAGATCACCTGAGGTCAGGAGTTCGAGAAACCCTGTATTTACTAAATGTACAAAATTAGCTGGGTGTGGTGGCGCACGCCTGTAATCTAAGCTACTTGGGAGACTGAGGCAGGAGAATGGCTTAAACCTGGGAGGCAGAGGTTGTGGTGAGCTGAGATCGTACCATTGCACTCCAGGCAACGAGGGTGAAACTCCATCTCGAAAAGAAAGAAAAACAAATGACTGTGTTCCTGCATCTACAGTTATTCAAGCACCTCCAATGGGCCAGATCCTGTGCTAGGTACCAGGGATGCAGAGATGACGGAGTATAACATCCTTATAGAGCCTGCATGGGGTCATGCCTCATTGGGTAGCCTTGAACACATTGTTTCCCTGGGACTTTATCCTTGTCTTTCATAAAATTAGGCGGTGGGTGTAGGCCAGAGGGTCTCCACTCCTCCCTAGCCCTGACATTCTAGAAAAGGAAGTTCAGAATCTGGACTTTGAGGACAGGCAGGCCTGCATTTGACTCCTTATTAGCTGTGTGATACTGGTTAGGTTGCTTATTCTCTCAAGCTTCAGTTTTTCCACCTGTACAAGGAGGAGGGCAATGCCGTGTTTCACAGGGATGCTGTAGGGTTCATGAGATGACATGCATACACCATGTAAAGTAGTTGGTAGGCAACAGGCATGTTTGGCTGCATTATGGGGCCCTGGTTGGAATAACACTGTTCCAGCCACTATATTTTGGTTGCCTAAAACAGAAATTGACTACCCATTCTATAGAAGTAGACAAGGCAGGCCGGGAGTGGTAGTTCACACCTGTAATCCCAGCACTGTCTGACATGGGTGGATCACCTGAGGTCAGGAGTTCAAGACCAGCCCGACCAACATGGTGACACCCATCTCTACTAAAAATACAAAAATCAGTTGAGTGTGGTGGCGCGTGCCTGTAATCCCAGCTACTTGGGAGGCTGAGGCAGGAGAATCACTTGAACCCAGGAGGCAGAGGTTGCAGTGAGCCCAGATTGTGCCATTGTACTCCAGCCTGGGCAACAAGAGTGAAACTCTGTCTCAAAAAAAAAAAAAAAAAAAAGAAAAAGTAGACAAGGCCAGAGGCTGCCACTTGGTGCCAGTAGTCAGCCTAACATCTAGGAGGTGGCGGAGGAAGAACAGGACTGGTGAGTTAGGAAAGAGAAGAAGATGGAGAGAACAGAAAACAGAACCCAATAGGGTGGTTCTGATGTTATAGGTGGCCCTGCTCTGCTGTCAAAGGTCATATGGGATCAAAATGTTTTCATGTTATTCTGTGAAGTCTCAGGCAGGGTTCAGGGTCTCTGGGGAGCATGAGCACATGAGCCGAGGTCATGCGGGAGGTGGTGGTGGTGGTGCTGGAGCTTCCAAGGACCTGTCCTGAGCATGGGCTCTCCTGAGCCTCACCCAGACGCTGCTCATTTTCATTAGCCCACCTGCAGCACCACAGCGACCCAGACAGTTCCAATTGCTAACTCCGACACTCTGATCTAAAAAGATGTCACTAGACCACAGGGACAGGGCCTGGTTCCAAAAATGCCAAGGGGTTGTTGTTACCTTTCCTCCCATTAACTCTCTCTGTCCTTCTCTCTGGCTGACAGCAAATCCCATAAGAATGTCCACATGACAAACTATCCTGCTTCATATTTCTAGAACTAAAGTCTTGCTCTGTTACCAGGAGTTTCTTGGAATATTTTAAAAATTGGTATTTACAGCCGGCCACAGTGGCTCACTCCTGCAATCCCAACATTTTGGGAGGCTGGGGTTGGTGGATCGCTTGAGCCTAGGAGGTCGAGACCAGCCTGGGCAACATGCTGAAACTCTGTTTCTCCAAAAAATACAAAAATTAGCCAGGCATAGTGGCAAGCACCTATAGTCCCAGCTACTTAGGAGGCTGAGATGGGAGGTTCACCTGAGTCCAGAAGGTGGAGGATTCATTGAGCTGTATCATTGAGTGATTCAGTGAGTGCATCATACCACTGCACTCTAGCCTGGGAAACAGAGCAAGACCATCTCAAAAAAGAAAAAAAAAAAAAATGAGGCCAGGCACGGTGGCTCAAGCCTGTAATCCCAGCACTTTGGGAGGCCAAGGTGGGTGGATCACAGGGTCAAGAGATTGAGACCATCCTGGTCAACATGGTGAAACCCCATCTCTACTACAAATACAAAACATTAGCTGGGCATGGTGGCGTGTGCCTGCAATCCCAGCTACTCAGGAGGCTGAGTCAGGAGAATTGCCTGAACCCAGGAGGCGGAGGTTGTGGTGAGCCAAGATCACACCATTGCACTCCAGCCTGGGTAACAAGAGTGAAACTCCATCTCAAAAAAAAAAAAAAAAAAAAAAATGGTATTTGCTTTAGATTAGAATAATAGGAGAATATACAAATTAGCTACTACTAAAAAGAAAAAAAAAAATTAGCTACTACTCTACCCAGACACATACACTTTTTTTGAATCTGTCTAAAAGCTATTTTCTTCAAAACAAGCACAGAGTTAAGACATTAAAGTTGATGATATATTGGCAAGCTGACTCCTTTATGAAAATAATTTTCTTCCATTTTTGCACTCAGGAACTGACTTTAGTTCCATAACTTTTTTTTTTTTTTTTGAGGTGGAGTCTCGCTCTGTCACCAGGGTGGAGTCCAGTGGCGTGATCTCAGCTCACTGCAACCTCCGCCTCCTGGGTTCAAGCGATTCTCCTGCTTCAGCCTCCCAAGTAGCTGGGACTACAGGCACCCGCCACCATGCCCAGCTAATTTTTCTATTTTTAGTAGAGACAGGGTTTCACCATGTTAGCCAGGATAATCTCCATCTCTTGACCTCGTGATCCACTGCCTCGGCCTCCCAAAGTGCTGGGATTATGTGTGAGCCACCATGCCTGGCCAACTCTGTAACCTTTTTACTCTTTACCCAGACATACTACTATTGTGACCTGCCCATCAGGATGTGAACTGACACTCCTCTCCTCCCCTCTACAGAGTCTGCTGAAACGTTACCAGCCCCACCGAGTCCCTTCTCCTTGCTGTGCACCAGTGAAGACCAAGCCGCTGAGCATGCTGTATGTGGACAATGGCAGAGTGCTCCTAGATCACCATAAGGACATGATCGTGGAAGAATGCGGGTGCCTCTGATGAGATCTTGGGGGGAGACTGGATTTGCCCGCACTCTGGAAGGCTGGGAAGCTCCTGGAAGACATGATAACCATCTAATACGGTAAGGAGAAATGAGAGGAGCAAAGTTGCTCTGCCTACCAGAAATGAAGAGACAGGGCTGCCCCCTCTGTAAATGAAGGCTCAGTGGAGTCTGGCCAAGCACAGAGGCTGCCGTCAGGAAGAGGGAGGAAGAAGCCCGTGCTGGGTGCTCTCTTTACCGAAAACACAGTGGCAAGTAAAAGCACAAGAGCCTGAGTTCTTTACTGGATTTTAAAAACACTTGTGAACCTCCTGAAATTGTATGTGAAAGTTGAGACATATGTGCATGGGTTTTGGAGGTGGGATGAGGTGACCTAAAGCTTTCATGTATTCTCCAAAGTTGTCTGTGTGTGACCTGTCCCCCTCCCCAAAGATGAAGGACCACTGTATAGATTAAAAAGAGTGCATCAGTCTCATTGCCTCAGGCTGGGCTGGGGGAGCCCCACAGCTTGCTGGCTGGGCCAATGACAATCTACTGGCCTTATCCAGAGGCTCTTTGGAGTGGGTCTCTGCTAATGAGCTGTGCAACAATAAAGTCATTGTCTAGTTCTCCTGGGCCAGCTGGTGCCTGTGAAGGCAGAGGCAGTAACTCATCCAAGAGAACTGGCCATGTTGGGTTACAGTAGCTGGAGCCTTCAGACATGCCCGCATCAGTCTGCTTAGGCAGACACAACCTGAATCTATTAAAGTTGGTAGCAGTTCGCCTCAATCTCTCAATGTGTGCTGTTAATGAGGCCCCCAATCTTCCGATCCAGCAGTGGTAAAGGCCTTGCCCTGGGTGGCAGGATACTTGCTCTATGGTCACAGCTCAGCCACTAGAAGCTGTGTGATCTCAGGTGAGCAATTCACTGTCCACTTGTAAAAGGAACGCTGGTGAATCCTAATGCATTCATAGTAAATGTCTGTTGTCGGGCTCAGAAGAGCCATGAGCTTTAAGCTGTAGACTGAATAGGAAGGGCTGTCTTATCCCTGTCGCCCGCTAAAGCTTATAAAGCCTGCTAAACTCAGTCCCTGCCATATGCCCTTACTCTAACCTTTATCAGCCCTTTTGTTACTCAGGGTTCTAAGGCGGACTTAATTTCAGGTTTCACATGGCAGCACAGCAAAAGGAGCCCGAGTGAGGCAGCTCTATCCCCAAAAACCTCTGACCACAGTTATTAAAAAGACCCCAAAGGCAGCAATTCTGGCTGGGTGCAGTGGCTCACACCTGTAATCCCAGCACTTTGGGAGGCCAAGGTGGGAGGACCGTTTGAGTCCATGAGTTCAAGACCAGCCTGGGCAACACAGTGATGAACCTGTCCCCATTTAAATAAAACCAGAAAAGCAATTCTGCTCCTAACAGCTTGATCTCATTGAGCATTGCCAAAGCAGGGAAACTTTTTTTGTAGTTTCATGGGGCAAAGGGGCTACTTTATTGGGAATGTGAGCCCATCAAAAAATGACCCACCCTGCTTTCCCAAGAAGCCTACTCACTTATGCTACAGGCTTAAGGAAATGATTCCAATCATTTGTGAACCCCATTGAGCTCAGATGAACTCAGCCGCGGCTTTGTGAGTCAATGCCATAATCACGGCCCCGGAAGGGACTGGATTTGTTAGAGCCAGGCCTGGGCTTGAGGAACCTCAGTGCCTTGATTCCACAACAAAGCTGACCCAGCTGTTCACTGCCTGGACTAGAAATAGACTGCCCAGATCCAACGATTCAGAATCACAACAGGATTCTGCATCTGTGTACAGAATAGCAGAGCAGGGGTCAGCTTGTCTGATCCCCATTCCTAAATGAGATCCCAGTGAGGCCTCGGGGCCTGACCACACAGCTAGGAGTGGCAGGGCCAAGAGCTGAGTTCTGGTCTCTTCAGCCCTAGAGGTGCTCAGTGCTTAATAGCAGCTAAAGGTTCGTGCTCACTTATCTTGGGATCCAGGCCTTAGCCTTTAGAACCAGACATTTGAACCCAATTGCTCTACTGAACTAGTTCTTAGAAAATCCCACCCCAGGACTTTCTTAACATGGCTGGTGCCAGAGAGCGAAAGGTCAAGCTATTTGTGGCTACAGCTTGTGGGAGTGTTTATAGTCAGTGGCTCTATTGACTCCAAGAACAAACCCTTAACAACAGGGCATTGCCTCATGTCAAGCAAAAGATGCAGGCATAAAGTAGTGAAACTGTGTTTTGCTGACCCCTGCTGAAAGCTCAGTGTTTGCTACATCAGCAGCAGAGTCATTCTGCTGCCTGGACGGAAGTAACTGGGGCAAAGCCTACCTCTCCGAGCCTAGGAAATAGCTCCATGCACTAGGCCATGTGCTTGTGAAGACTCTCTAAGTCACTGGAAATACTACCTAGAAGAATTGTGTCCTGTCTGAACCTGGGATGTTGTCTTTTTTTTTTTTTTTTTTAAATTTATTTTTTATTATTTATTTATTTATTTATTTAAAGACGGGGTTTCACCATGTTGATTGGGCTAGTCTTGAACTCCCAACCTCAGGTGATCTGCCCGCCTTGGCCTCCAAAGTGCTTGGATTACAGGAGTGAGCCACCACGCCCGGCCTGGGATGTTGTCTGTTGTTTTGAGATGGGATCTGGCTGTCACCCAGACTGGAGTGCAGTGGCACAAACATGGCTCACTGCATTTTGCCATCCTGGGCTCAAGCAATCCTCCTACCTCACAGCCTCCTGAGTAGCTGGGACTGGAAGCATGTACCATCATACCCAACTAATTTTTCAATATTTTTTGGAGAGACAGGGTCTCGCCATGTTGCCAAGGCTGGTCAACTTCTGGGCTCAAGCTAGCCTCCTGTCTTGGCCTCCCAACATGTTGATATTACAAGTGTGAGCCACTGCACCTGGCCTGACCCTAGGGTTTTAAGAGTAGTCAAGAGTTATTTTAACTTGCTCACAAGCAGTGCCAAGTCATAGTTGTGAGAAAAATTGGACACATTACACTCCTTGGCCTGGGAAGTGGGTGGGCCCGGCAGTAGGTAAGCTGGAGAAATTAGAAACATTTTAAGAAACAGAAACACGGGATACACAGAGATGTGGGAAGTCTCTGTGACCCTGGAATAGCACCCCCAACCTAGTGTCTCCATCTCTAAAAGCCTTTCTTTTCAGGCTCACATCTGTAATCCCAGCACTTTGGGAGGCTGAGGTGGGTGGATCACGAGGTCAGGAGTTCCAGACTAGCCTGACCAACATGGTGAAACCCCGTCTCTACTAAAATTACAAAAATTAACCAGAGAGTGATAGCACAAGCCTGTAATCTCAGCTACTCAGTAGCCTGAGGCAGAATTACTGGAACCTAGGAGGTAGAGGTTGCAGTCAGCCGAGGTGCACTCTAGCCTGGAGGACAGAGCCAGACTCCCTAGCAATAGGATCTTTATCTATCCTAATTGCCGTTAGGGTAAAGGATGTAGCAAAGGGCTTTTAAAGTTTTGGTCCCATCTTCCCTTAAATAGATAATCCTTCTCTAGGTTCCACAAGTAGATGGTGGCTGCAGCGCTCAAACCTGCTCCACTCCTAAACTGACACACTTGGAGGGAGGAGGTGCGCGGGCTGAATAACCTCTGGCTGTCCATGCCAGCTGGGCTGTGCTTGAGTCCCTTAAACTGGAACTACTGTTTACTGAACCGAGTGTACTAGGCACTGGGCTCTTTATGACATCAACTGGGCCTCACAACCAACTAGAAAAGTTATTTCTTAACCCTGTTTCAGAGAAAACAGGCTTGTAGATGAAGAATCCTACTGGGGTCATGTGGTTACTAAGCAGCACAGCTGGAACGGAAGCCGCCCGGCTCCAAAGCTGTGCCCTAAACCTCTACACAGTCCCAGTGGGAAAGTTTCCTCCAGTCCGGTTTTATTTTGTGGACCTCTGTTCACATGAAAGAATTCTTGTTCTCAGGACTGTGTGGGACCTGCTGGATTAGTAGCAGCAGGGAATCTGACGCTCATGCAGCACAGCTTCTTTTTAGACACCAGGCATGATGGGTGTCTAACCAGTGCTCCCAGGGGCACAGGCAGCCCCTCTTCAGAGAGAGGAAAAGTTGTTTGAGATTCCTCAGGGCTGGTACTTAAGAGGACATCCTTCGGTGCTGTCAGCCCAGCATATACATGTTCACCTCCGAGCTCCTGAGCACAGGACCAGGGTCTTGTTCCCGAAAGAGTTCCACCATCTTGTGACCCACCATCAGGTCCACATTGACAAAGTGCATGCTCCCTAAGTGCAGAGGTAACAGATAAAGCAGCCCATATCCCTCTGCCTATATCCCCCACCAGCCGAAAACTCCTGAAATGTGAAATAACCTTAGGATTTCACCTGAAATTAAAAATAAAATAAAATCACCAAGTTGATACTCAAGATCTTTATTGATTTAACTATAACAGCAACCATTGATGAAAATTTAATTTTTTCCCTAATTTCCAAACATCTGCTTGTTTGGAAGGATAGTTAAAATACAAAAACAACCGATCATGGAATCACACAGAACTGCCTCAAGGACTGCGTGGTGCCCTCTGCTGTCCATCCACACAGGGTGAAGTGGATGAGAGGGATGAGGGGACAACACATCATGGGAGACAAAGGGAAGACCAAGGAAAGTGCTGGCAGTCTCCGCTTTTCCATACAGAATGGATGGTACTGGGCCATCAGTGGCACTAAGACAGGGCAGGGCTATTTTTTTTTTTTTTAAATAAAATATTTTAAAGATGCATAAAATGGACACCTTAGCATGTGAGTGTCCTTTGGGCTCTTCAAGACACCTTCTTAAGTTTTACCCCTGGAGTAGCAGAGGATCTCCTCACCCAGGTAGAGAGATGGGCTCCAACTGCAGGTGAAGGAAAGGCACTGGCGCACGGCACTCAGCAATGTAGATACAGGCACCAGGTAAGGCGGGGTGGCTTACCCAGCAACCCGCCTCTGGGCTCCCTGCTAGTGTTCTTCCCTCCTCCCCTGGTTTCCAGTTAAAAGTACCCTTGGCCTGGGCTTTCATTTTTTTCCTTTAGATTAAGCTGGAGAGAAAGGGGATACATTTAGGCAAGAATGGGTATTTTGTGCTAGATTCATGGAATTTTCTAAGTGTCCAGGAGTTTTGGTTTTAAGCACCGGCAAAAGCTCCCTTTGGAAATTTCAATGTGGCCAAGTGATTATCAAGCATTGCAGCATCTCTCTGCACCCTTAGAAAGGTGGCAGAGTGAGAGTTTACCCTGGGAAATGTCTTCCATCTCAGTAATATTTCCATTGGGTATCCATGACATACGGTATGGTCTACCAGGGCTGCAGGCAGAGAGCCTTAAGCAAAGAGAAACCACAGACCCTCTGAATAGGGACTCACAAGCCTTCTCCTAAATCTAAGCTTTGCCAAAAGGTATCAACTTCCAGGACCAGCCTAGAGAAATAAATTTAAATTCCAGAGAGTGGGAAAGGTGATGTTAAATGATTAACTGAGAAAACAAGTATGTATCAATAACTCTTATCGTTTTCAGTTAGAAATGTCTGTAGGTCACCCTCAAGAAACTCTACTAAACTGGAAAACCATGACTAACAGGAAGTGGCCCTGGGGTAGAAGCATTCTAGAGAATTGTGACCCAACTGCATCATATCTGGTTTCATCTTTTATTAAAAGCTGAGAGCTTTGTGAAGAACTGTGAGATAACTAAGTCCACCTCAAAGTCCAGACAGAAACCGCTCCCAAAGACACAATGTTTCTTTTAACACAAATACCACTCATTCCCAGATATTATGGGTAGGCAAGTGATTGGGTTTTGCAGATGAATCAATAGCTGCTCATGTGCATGTAGTCCAGAAAACATGCCTGCCAAGAAGGATAGTTCTGAACTAAGGAAGAAAGGCAGTGTGGCTTCCTCTCTAAAGGGGAATGCAAAGGGCTAAGAGCCCTGGCTTCAAGCAGCTGTTATCCAAGTGAGGAAAATGGAAACAGACTCAATCTGGATATTGCCACCGACAAGCTGAGCCCTTCACCAGCTGCCTTGATTTGAAGCAGGTGAGGGACTTTAACTAATGGTGTTTGAGCTGGAAAGGTAAGTTCTGAAAGTCCCAAAAAGCTGGAAACCCAAACAGCAAAAAAAGAGAAGACCATATATTTGAATACACTTCAAAATAAGGAAGAAAAATGAAATTCATTTAAAGGTGCTCTAAAGAGGAGTTATTTACTTTTGGAAGAAGTATCCTTTTCTTACAGCTGCCTCAACAGCAATGCTTCTTATCCAAGTGTACTCTCAAGCAAGCAGGGCTATAGATAAGAAAATGCTGGGAAGAGGCAGAACATAAATCCGAACAAGAATTTGCATCTTTGGCTGGGCGCAGCGGCTCATGCCTGTAATCTCAGCACTTTGGGAGGCTGAGGCGGGTGGATCACCTGAGGTCAGGAGTTTGAGATCACCCCGGCCAACATGGTGAAACCCTGTTTCTAAATTAAAAATACAAAAATTAAAAAATAAAAATAAAATAAGCCAGGCATGGTGGTGTGGGCCTGTAATCCCAGCTACTCAGAAGGCTAAGGCAGGAGAAATATTTGAACCTGGGAGGCAGAGGATGCAGTAAGTTGAGATCGCACCACTACACTCCAGCCTGGGCGACAGAGCACAACTCTTGTCTCACAAAAAATACAAAAACAAAAACAAAAACAAAATTTGCATCTTTAAAGTATCTGAACTCTCTAAAGAACTGGTTAGGAATGGGTGCCAGAAACATATAGCAGCCATTTACTAGAATGCATGAAACGAAAAAACTTTATAAGTTTGTCTTGAGGGTGAAGACAAGACCAATTCTTTAAGAACACATTGCCATCAAGAAGCCCAGGAAGAGATGGGCATGCAGGGTTAACCTGTGCACTGGATTTAGAGGAGCAACCAAGCATAGGTCATTTGTAATTCTCAGATGTTCTCCATTTTATGGAGTGGTTGCTTCCTGGGTGAGAGATCTGACCTGACTCTGTTGAGACTGGAGAGACCAGGTACCAAGCACCCACGCTGGTGGGAAACTGGCTTTCTGATAACATCATCTATTTCACCTAAATCTGAACTGCTTTCTTGTCTTCAGCTCAGTATAGCTTAACATCTAATTCATGTTTGCTCTCTTTGCTGGACAATCCCCATTCCAAATAAGATAGCTTTAGTGACTCAGCTGAAGGCCCCACTTCCTTTTGTTAATTCCTAGCTACAGGAAAATAAAAGTGGTAAATGAGTCACCAAGCCTAGGACTTGCAAATAAGCATACCTGAGCTGCTGGTAGTTAAGCTTATTATTTTCTACTTCTCCTGGAATTGCCATTTCTTACCACCCCTCTCAAAAACAGCAGGTAGCTTTGGGGAGTTTGCTTTCTATCCAGGTAATTGTTTTTGATAGCAATCTACCTTTCAGCTTACCTAGATTAAACCTACCTCCCTATTGACCTGGCTTCCTCCTCAGCTGGGGTGTGGTGCTTTTACGATACATCCATACATTCTTTGCTACTGCTCCATTGGGGTAGAGGGATGTGTAATTCCTCTCTCCCTGAGAGCAGGCTGGACTTAGTGGCTTGCTTCTAAAGACTGGAGTAAGAAGTGATGGTGTGTCCTTTCCAAGACTATGTCTTAAAAGGCACTGTAGCTTTTCTCCTGGCCCTGCCACCCATCTCTGGAATCAGCTGCTCAGGAAGAAGCCAAGGTGTCGTGGTGTGAGGCCACTCATGCAGGGACCCACATGGGAAGAAACTGAGGCATAATGCCAACAGCCACAAAAAGAGAACTTGGAAGTGGATTCTCCAGCTCCAGCTGACTACAGCCCTTGCCCACATCTTGACTGTTAACTTCATGATACCCTGGGCCAGAACCATCACGTTAAGCTCCCCCCAAATTCTTAACCCACAAAAACGGACAGATAATGTTTGCTATTTTAAGACACTAAAGTTAGGGTAATTCGTTACACAGCAATAGATAACTAATACAGGTGGAAGGACGAAACTCTTGGCTTGGAAGCCCAATACCTAGAAGCCAGCTTCTCTGTATCTGTGCCCTTGAAAATGCTGTACATATTTAAAAAGAATGAGAACTGGTGAACTCAATGACCCACACAATAAAGAAGGCAGAACCATGACAATGCATGTCTGCTTCTGGAATTTGGAGGGAAGTCATTTCTCATTAAGAGCGAATGTCCCCACAACAATAGAAGCATGGGTTCCTCATAAAAAGAAAACTACATATGGTCACTAAAGTGGTGAGAACTGTCTCAGTCAAGTGGCAACTTAAGGGTGTTCCTTCCCTCTAAAAAAGCCAGGACACATCATTCATTCAGGGTTTCATCTGTGAGGTTCCCTCCAAACATGCAGAGGTAAACCACCCAGTGGACTCTGGCTTGTTCGAAAAATAATTCTACGAGGCATGACACAAAGGTATCATCTATTGGAAGTTTATCTCATGCCCTGTGAAATTATTTTTTAAATGCCAACTTATGAAGGTCAAAGGCCGTCTAGAGGCGGTCTCTGGGAAAGAACTGCACCAAGCCGTAAGGAAGTCCTTGCAGAGAAGGATAAGGGATTGGACAACTGCTGCATTATACAGCTAACGCTCCCAAGAAATACTAAAAACATGCCTTCTAATTAGGGGGCCACATGCAGAAGAAGCTCCCCAAGATGGCAAGAAAAGAAAAATGGCATCTTGACACTACTCAAGCTCATGCTTTAAATCCATTTTCCACTGTTCAGTGAGGAAGCCAAGTTTTCACACATAGCAATAAAGATCAAGAAGAGTTCACTCTTCTGCTCACTGACTGCTAGTTGGGTCAAATTCCACAGGATGCCAAGGCCAGTGTATGAAGAATGAAAAGTTTCATTCCCAAAGAATCAGGCTCCCCAGGGTGCAAAGAGGTCCTGAGCATGCTTTTTATGTAAATTACAGCGCAACTTAGATTTTCCCAAGAATATGTAAAATGAGATTTGGAGTTTAATTAAAAACAGAACAGGGATACATTAACAAACAAAAAACACTTTTCTGATTATCAATTTTTGAGACTCAAAGCATCCCCAAAACATTGGAGATCCAGCTTATTCCTGAGAGACATCAACCATCACAAAAGGTTTTCACTCTGAACTATTCACATTTTTGTAGCAGAAAACAGAACAAAGTTCTGCAGACATCCTTCCTCTCGTGTCAAATGTATTCACAAACAGGGTCTTTTCATAGTTCGAAAGAAAAACAATCGGGCTTCTTTCTTGGCCAAATGGCCTGTTACTCTCACCCTGGGAACTGATTTCTTAATAACAAAGTTCAGGGCACCAAATCCAACCAGAAATTCCCAGGACACCAGTGGCTACTTAACTATGAGGGGATGGATACTTTAGTCTTTCTATGAGAGAAGTCATTCTCCTGGGATTATTATGCTGGTCAATAGTCCCAGGAGAGGTAGGTGGGAAGGGTGGGTGAATGCAAAAGCTAAAGGATCAGAGAAAAGAATGAGGCTTTCATGAACAACCCAAAGCAAGGCAGAATGGTCCAGTTTTAAACCACCCACTACAAACTCCAAACATGCACACCCAAAACTAGAGGGGAAAGGAAAGAGCTCCTGGGGGACTAGGGGCGACAAAAGATGTTGACATAGAACAGCAGACTTGCCTATGAACATTTCTCACCTTCCTAACACTGGAAGATGTTTAATTAAAAAGTTGCTGTTCAAAATTGTACTGAAAACATATCTAAAAATAGGTCTGTAGTCATCTTAAAAATAAAAGGTCACTTCTCAGATAAGAGGAGTGACAGATATTCTCAGATACCAACATGAGGTATCTTTGATGTAAATTTGAAAAATGGCCTGGTAGAGAAAAAGGAAGGAAAGGAAGGAGAGAGGAAGACAGTGAGGGAGGTAGGGAAGGAAATTCAGAGTACAATAGAAAAGACAAGAAAACTGGGAGGAACACGTTTTTTAAGCCCATACTTATCTATCCCGGCAGCCAAACAAAGCAGATCCACAAAGGAAAAATGCAGTTCTTTTCTAAGAACGTTAAGAAAATCAACTTCAAACTCAAAACGTTAAGAAACTGCAATCTGAGAACAACTATCACAATGCTCCCTGGACTTAAAAATGACTACTGAGACTGGGTACTCAAATGGGTCAACGCTCTTCAGAGGTCATTCTTAGGCGTTATCTGACAGAATACTATGATCAGGCCTTACCCACCAAGTGAGGCTAAAGTGCCTCTATTACTTGGTAATAAGAACAGACAAAATCACTTCTCTTTCTTGAAGTACAAGAGGACTCTGCCAGCAACAAGATGCAAGCAGGGAGGAATGGCAGAAGAACTAAACTGGTTACCAAGGGCTCTCTTCTGATGTACAGAGTTAAAAATATCTGCACAAATGCGCTAAGTAAAAGAATGGGAAGATGAACTATAATACCAAAGACGGAAGACATTCCTCCCAAAGGAAAGAACAGAAGTGGACCTCAAAACAGTGTCACAGGATAATGCTACCAGAGTTGCACAAACTGTGCTCTGTCCCGAGGGACGAATACCTCAAGGTAAAAGGGAAAGCAGCTCTCTTTTTATCATTTACCCTGCTGGTTTTAAAGACCCCAAGCCGATTCTTGCAACACTGAACCATAGGCGGAATACGGGGAGGAGAGACAGAGTGTAAGGAACATGAATGGTGTTAGGCCCACCAAGCCTCTGTATCCCTTTCCCAGACTTCCCAGTCAGGCAGTTGTTGGTAGGTCAATATTTGATTTGGGACAAAACTGGGGGGTATGATGTTAGCTCTCAATTAAAAATACAACTAGGAAAGTCAGAGTTTAACTGTTTTCCTCTATGGGCTGCTTAGCGCTACAGAAGTACACCAAGGGCTTTCAATCTAACCTGTCTAACTGAGAAGGGGAATAGGAGACAGGGCGAAGAAATGGTCAGATGAAGCTCATCTTCCCATCATTTGGCACCCAGGGGAAAAGGGGGAGGTGGAGACTGTAATGGGGACTGCTGGTATTGCCTCTTCTGTCTTTACACTGTGGATCTTATTGGCCAAATCAGGTGCACACAGGTATCAGTGTTGCTGCTTTTCTTCTAATCATTGCAGGAGAGTCAGATGTCCATCTCAAACTGAGCATCATCCCCTAGTTAGGACAAATAAAATGAAGAGTTTAGCATATACACAAAAAAAGCAAAACAGTTTTAACTGTCATTCCCTCTATATGAGAGACAAAAAATAACTCAGATTGTCCCATTCTCTCCTGCCCTAAAACAATTATTCTACTATGACCAAACAGCAGCTCCTAGGGAGCTCTTTGCCATCTATGGGGGAGCACACTCTTCTGGAAGCTTTGGACTTTGGTCCTGCTCCAAACTGACACTTTGTGTATTAAAAAAACTCATCTGAAATATGACAAAGCAGAATGCTGGCTCACATCTAGTGGTCCAAGTGCAGTCCCTGAGGATCAGGAGCTGGCCACTCCCACCTCACCACTCTGCTTCTACAAAGATAAAGAGGGCTTATTACAAAAGACTGTGTTAGAGAAGGGGTAATTTAGGTAGTTCTGGAAAATACAGGAAATAAGCCATACTGCTTTTCCTCACACCATAAAAAAGAAATTCCTACAAGAAACAAGGTCTGTTTGCCTGAGGGTAATGGAAATGGGGGCTATAACATGTTTTGTTTTCTGTGTATATCCTTAGTCCAATGAAGCTGAGGCCAGGCAATCCTTAAGGCATGGTTCAAGGAGTCATTTTTGGGGTTTACCATCCTGATTCCGGATTCTTTTCTCCCACCAACGACATTAGATTTGATTATGATTCAGAACTCAGAGTTTTCAAGCCAGGTGCGGTGGCTCATGCCTTAATCCCAGCACTTTGGGAGGCCAAGGTGGGTGGATCACCTGAGGTCAGGAGTTCAAGACCAGTCTGGCCAACGTGGTGAAACCCCGTCTCTATTAAAAATACCAAAATTAGCCAGGTATGGTGGCGGGTGCCTGTAATCCCAGGTAATTGGGAGGATGAGGCAGGAGAATCACTTGAACCCAAGAGGCAGAGGTTGCAGTGAGCCGAGATTGCACCATTCCAGCTTGGGCAACAGGAATGAAACTCCGTCTCAAAAAAAAAACAACAACTCAGGACTCAGGGTTTTCAGAGCACTTCAAAACCTTTGGGGGAGGGAGGGGAACCTTAGAGACATGTAACTGAACATCAGTTATAACTGAAGAATTGGCCGGGGGCAGCAGCTCACGCCTGTAATCCGGAGTTCAAGACCAGCCTGACTAACATGGCGAAACCCCATCTCTACTAAAAAATACAAAAATCAGCTGGGCGTGGTAGTGGGTGCCTGTAATCCCAGCTACTGGGGAGGCTGAGGCAGGAAAATCGCTTAACCTGGAAGGCGGAGGTTGCAGTGAGCTGAGATCATGTCACTGCACTCCAGCCTGGGTGACAGAATGCAACTGGGCCTAAAACAGAAAAAGAAATATAAAAACCACCACCAAAGAATCAATAGCTTCTCAACCTATAGCAAACAGACATTCAAATTCCAACAGCCACGCTCTAGGTCTCCAACACCGCCATTCTCTTACCAACTGCATGTTTCCTGTCATGATTGTTCAAGTTGTTCAAATTGTTTACTTCTACTTTGGAGTCTTCAATTAAGGTGCCAGGGCTGGTGACTCCTGGGATATTGGGCAGATGGCAGGGTGGAGTCTGAGCCATGGGAGAATTGCGACGATCCAACAGAAACTTTCTGTCATAAATGATTCGAGTTCCTGGAAAACAGAGTTAAAGAGAGTTTGAAACAATTTAAGGGATTGTCAACATATAATACTACCCAGGAATTTAATTTAAATCCCGTATAATCCTAACTTTTAAGGATTTTACAATTCAAGTTGAAAGCATAAGCTCTAACCTCCCTACCTGTAAACAGGCTCCTCTGCCATCAGGAATGCTCTCTTTCTCTTCTGCCAGTGACACTCCTGCTGATCCTTCAGGACTCAGCTCCAACCATCACTTCCTTTATGAAGCCACCGCCACCCTTCACTTTTTAAAAAGGTTCTTCCTCCCCATCTTACTCAACACACATCACGTATTACAGGACTCCTGTTTATCCATCTGTCTCTCTTTATAGACTTTTGAGTTTCTTATGTCCGGGCTATGACTTATTTCTATGTGATCTAGGTCCTAACATTAACATCTTTAAGAAAAAAAGGTTTTTTTTTTTATTTTTATTTTTTGAGATGGAGTTTTGCTCGTTTCCCAGGCTGGAGTGCAATGACGCGATCTTGGCTCACCACAACCTCTGCCTCCTGGGTTCAAGCAATTCTCCTGCCTCAGCCTCCTGAGGAGCTGGGATTACAGGCACGTGCCACCATGCCCAGCTAAGTTTTGTATTTTTAGTAGAGACGGGGTTTCACTGTGTTGACCAGGACGGTCTCGATCTCTTGACCTCGTGATCCACCCGCCTCAGCCTCCCAAAGTGCTGGGATTACAGGCTTGAGCCACCGGAAAAAAAAGTTTTAAGTGAAAGAAAAAACAAGTATGATAAAAAATAAACAGCCCCTTTAAAAGGCTTTCCAAAGAAGCACTGAGACTGACATTCTTCTCACAGCTATAGTCAAAGCTGGAACTGGCTGGCAGCCCCTCTCTATTCTGCAAAACAATCTGCTTACCAGTTAGTGCTACCTGAATGTTTTTAAAACAATAATTCTGAAGAGTACACTTTAACTGATAAACAGTGATGGAAACCTGCTTACAAATGGTGAACAGGTACATTAAAAGGTGCTCATCATCAAGGAAATGCAAATCAAAACCACAAGGAGACTATCACTTCACATCTCTTAGAATGGCTATTATAAAAAAGACAAGAGAGCCTGGGCATGGTGGCTCACTGCCTGTAATCCCAACACTTTGGGAGTCCAAGGCAGGAGGATTGCTTGAGCCCAGGAGTCTAAGTCCAGTCTGGGCAACATAGTGAGACCCTGTCTCCACCAAAAAATTATTTTAAAAAAAGAGTTAAGGGCCGGGTGCAGTGGCTTGTGCTTATAATCCCAGCACTTTGGGAGGCCAAGGCAGGTGGATCATGAATTATGTAAGAATTCTGGGGAGACACAATTCAAATGAGGTTAGGAGGGTAAGACCAGCCTGACCAATATGGTAAAACCCCATCCCTACTAAAAACACAAAAATTAGCAGGGTGTGGTGGCACACACCTGGAATCCCAGCTACTCAGGAGGCTGAGGCAGGAGAATCGCTTGAACCGGGAGGCAGAGGTTGCAGTGAGCTGAGATTGCACCACTGCACTCTAGCCTGGATGACAGAGCGAGACTCTGTCTCAAAAGGAAAAAAAAAAAGAGCCAAGGGAGGTGATATGGGCCTGAAGTCCCCACTACTTGGAGGCTGAGGAAGAATAGCTTGAGTCCTGGAGTTCAAGGCTACAGGGAGCTATGACTGCACCACTGCACTCCAGCCTGGCAACAGAACAACATCCTGCCTCAAAATTTAAATCAAATATAATTTTAGGACAAGGAAAGTAGAAACTTACCTTCACCCTCTTTGCTTTGAAAAACAAAAACTCGACTAACACTCAAAGGCATCTAGAAATTATGAGGAACGAGGCATTCTGGGTAGCACAAAATTTAATTCAACTTTTAAAGGGTGAATAGTTTCAATTATCTTGGATAGAAATACTTCTAACACAGATTTAAATCCCTTTATGGCCTTCAACAGAAAACGATTCAACCCTCTTGATGAATCAGTCATTATTAAGAAAATCATTTATTATATTGTGACCTAAGAAGTCTCAAGCCCTATCAAGTTGATGCTATGTACAGCTGAACATCGCTATACAAAAGTGACTGTCAAGGCTGTGCTGGTGCACCCTTCTCCCAGTGTGCCTGTCTCCTGTTAGACTGAGGGCTGCCTTTTTTCCAGGCTACTACCATGGCTCAGCAGCTCAAGCTGCCATAACAAAATACCACAGACTGCACAATTTAAACAACAGAAATGTATTGTTTCATAGTTCTGGAGACTAGAAGTCCAATACTAATGAATGGTTTCTGTTGAGGGCTCTCTTCTTGGCTTGTAGATAGCTACCTTCTCACTGTGTCCTTTACATGGGGGTGAGGGGACCATCGCTCTGTGGTGTCCCATCTTATAAGGGCACTTAATCCCATCACGAGGGTCCCACCTTCATGACCTCAACTCAACCTAATTAACTTGCAAAAGCACCAATTAAGGTTTCAACATAAGAATTCTGGGAGACACAATTCAATCTGTATAGTCCACCCTTAAACCCTTTCTAACTTGGTATTTCTAGTCTGCTGGGTTTGGAAATCAGCAACTTGCTTATTAGCATGTTATGTAAAATAAGGGCAAACAGGCTGAAAGGGAGTTTGATGGCCTTCCAATGAACAAAGGGAAGGAGTCTTATGGATGGACTTTACCTGTCTGTTGAGTCACCCCACTTTTGTTCATGGTTAGATTTCAGAAGGGTGAGGTTTCTTTCTTTTTTCTTTTGAGACTTGCTCTATTGCTAGGCTGCAGTACAATGGGACAATCTCGGCTCACCGCAACCTCTGCCTCCCAGGGTTTTTGTGTGACCATATTTCCATTCTCTTGGGCATGTACTAAACTAAAAAAGTGGAATTAGCCAGGCATGGCAGCTCATACCTGTAATCTCAGCACTTTGGGTGGCCAAGGTGTGTGGATTGCTTGAGCTCAGGAATTCAAGACCAGCCCGGGCAACATGGCAAAATCCTGTCTCAAAAAAATACAAAAATTGCCAGGCACAGTGGCTCATGCTTATAATCCCATCACTTTGGGAGGCCAAAGTGGGTGGATCACCTGAGGTCAGGAGTTCGAGACCATCCTAACTAACATGGAGAAACCCTGTCACTACTAAAAATACAAAATTAGCTGGGCGTGGTGGCACATGCCTATAATCCCGGCTACTCAGAAGGCTGTGGCAGGAGAATCGCTTGAACCAGGGAGACACAGGTTGTGAGCCAAGATTGTGCCATTGCCCTCCAGCCCAGGCAACAAGAGTTAAACTCTCTCTCACAAAAAAAAAAAAAAAAAAAAAAAAAAAAAATTAGCCAGGTGTGACAATGTACACCTCTGGTCCAAGCTACTGGGGAGGCTGAGGTGGGAGGATGGTTTAAGCCCCCAGATGGAGGTTGCAGTGAGCCATGATTGCACCACTGCACTCAGTCTAGGTGACAGAGTGAGACCCAGTATCAAAAAAAAAAAAAAAAAAAAAAAAGTAGAACTGCTAGCTAGATCACATGTTAACTCTACCTTTAACCCTATGAAGAACTGCCTATTTTTCAAAGTGGTTGTACCATCTTACATTTCCATCAGCAATGTGTGAGAGTTCTAATTTCTATATATTGTAGCCAACATTAACAGATATGAAGTGGTTTTTCATTGTGGTTTGATCTTAATTTGCATTTCCTTGCTGGCTAATTATGTTGAACATGCTCTTTTCATGTACTTACAGGCCATTCCACCATATATCTTCTTTGAAGAAATGTCTATTCAGAACCTTTGCCCATTTTTCAATGGGTTGTCTTTATTACTAAATTGTGATGGTTCTTTATTCTGGATACAAACCTGTTATATGATTTTCCATCATGTCCAATGTATCTGTTTTTTTTTTTTTCCTTTTGTTTGTGCTTCTGGAGTCATATTTAAGGCCACTGCCTAATCCAAGGTCATAAAAATTTGCCTGTCTTCTTCTAAGAGTTTTTTTTTTTTTTGTTTTTTTTGTTTTTTTTTTTGAGACGGAGTTTCGCTCTTGTTACCCAGGCTGGAGTGCAATGGCGCGATCTCGGCTCACCACAACCTCCGCCTCCTGGGTTCAGGCAATTCTCCTGCCTCAGCCTCCTGAGTAGCTGGGATTACAGGCACGCGCCACCATGCCCAGATAATTTTTTGTATTTTTAGTAGAGACGGGGTTTCACCATGTTGACCAGGATGGTCTCAATCTCTTGACCTCGTGATCCACCTGCCTCGGCCTCCCAAAGTGCTGGTATTACAGGCTTGAGCCACCGCGCCCGGCAAGAGTTTTATATTAATAGTTTTTGCTCTGACATTTAGGTCTGTGAGCCATCTGATCCACCTTCAGTTTTTCTGTGTGCATAACCAGTTCAATCAGCAATATCTGTTGAAAACTCTTCTTTTTCCATGGAATTGTCTTGGCACCCTTGTTGAAGATCAACGGGCCATAATTGTGAGAGTTTATTTCTGGACTCTCAATTTTATTCCATTGATCTATATGTCTATCCATATGCTAGTACCACATTGTCTTGATTTGTAGTAAGTTTTGAAACCAGGAAGTTTATGTCTTCCAACTTTTTCTTTTTCAGGATTGTTCTGGATATTTTAGGTCCCTTAAAGTTCCATATGAATTTTGTCAGCTTGCCAAAGAAGCCAGCTGAGATTATGATAGGAACTGTGCTAAATGTGAAGGTCAAGTTGTGGAGCACTACTATCTTAACAATATTAAGTCTTCTGGCCGGGCGCGGTGGCTCAAGCCTGTAATCCCAGCACTTTGGGAGGCCAAGGCGGGTGGATCACGAGGTCAAGAGATCGAGACCATCCTGGTCAACATGGTGAAACCCCGTCTCTACTAAAAATACAAAAAATTAGCTGGGCATGGTGGCGCGTGCCTGTAATCCCAGCTACTCAGGAGGTTGAGGCAGGAGAATTGCCTGAACCCAGGAGGCGGAGGTTGTGGTGAGCCGAGACCGCGCCATTGCACTCCAGCCTG